TAGTTATCTTGTATCTTCTGTGCAGAAACGATCTATTTCTTTTATAGTATAGAAATAAACAGTTTCTGGAAAAAAAAAAACCAGAAATCAGTTCACTGCTCAACCGCAACGAGATAAACAAGCTTCGAGTATATAAAATAACAGTAGTAATCACAGTATACAAAATAAAAGTAATACAATGCAAAGGAACACTTGTAATAACAAGTCATATTTTGCTAAAACTAACCACCTTAATCAATGCCTGTAGCAAACTGGTTAGCACAACCGCCTAGGAAACTTCAAGTTAGAGATTCGAGACCCACCAGATGATTTTTTTTAGCTAGAAATAACCTAGATATAGTTAACTTCTTTCTGATCAGAATTAAGATGGGAACAAAAAAATTTTAAGAAAATCCTTGCTTTTTTTAAACAATTCAAAAAGAATTTTTGACCTGAAATTAGATAAAAACATAAAGTATTTCAGGTCAGATATAAAGAACTTTCTCGGTACGGATAGATCTTTGTTGAGCTGCGTGAGAGGCTTCTCTTGATGTAAATATAATTGGAAGTTTCAGCGTAATTTTTGATTAATTTAAAAAAAAGCCAAAATTACGCATTTTTGAAGAAAGAAGTCGGTTGCAAATTTCGCAAAAATTGCACATAACACTTGTCTAATTTTAACTCATATTGAGATAAATGCAATTGAAATTTCAAGTTTTTTTTTCAAGATAATTCAATCAGCACTAGATATGAGACTTGTGCACTAGATGGAAAGTAGCAAGACCAAATCAATCGCCAATAATAAACAAAAAGCTCACATTTTCTTGAAATAAAATATTCTTTAGCTTCCAATTAGCCATAATTTCCTGTAGCTAAACAAATACTTATTTGATATCAAGAAAAACAACAGCAAACATAATCAAAGGCAAACAGTGAATATGAAAATAACCCAGTCACTTGCAAGGTAAGCCTGAATTTTCAGACTGCGTTTTAATGTCTGTGAAAAAGTTTTTGATTAAAAATTTGACGCAACTTTTCATAATAAATAAAAAAACAGTTTGAACTTTTTTCCATATTTTTGAAAACCTATGTACAAAAATAAAATGATAAATTTGCATGCTACCAAATAGTTTGCTTCAATTCATTTTGGTTTTTTGAGCCGTCCTATTGTTTTGTAATAGACCAAATTACATAGAGAGTTGCAAAAAGTTGGAACAGACAGAATTAATTATAAAGAGCAATTGCTAATTTTTCAGAGAAAGTATAAGAATCCGAAGTTTGTCTGAATAAAGCGTTACACAGCACACGCATTCCGTCACTTTGTTATTGGCGCAAAGCTCTGATTGTTGGAGCTGTTTTTTTGAAGTTAAGTTTTTTTTCATTTTTGTAAAATCCCTGGTATGCTGTTCAAGAAAGAACGGTGACATATTTCAGCTAGGAACACGTTATTTGGAAGAATTAAGTTGCCTTCTGGGAATTGGGAGTTTAAAAATGTAAAAACGTCATAATAACTCGCCATAATTTAACAAAACTTTTCACAGGTGCATGTTTCTTATTTTGAGCTCTATATCTTTCACGGTATTTATTTTAGAAAAAACTGTTACAAACAGCTAATTAAAAAAAACAAAAATTGATCTGAATTACAAAAAAAAACAACCCAACCGCATATGTTCAACCATTCTCCTCAAAACATTTTTTCAAAAATAATGAGTTGGAGTACTATGTGCAGATTATTTGACCGATATGAATAACTTCAAGGTCATTCTGAGCAGTATTAATGTCGTTTGTAGAATTGCTTGATTGTTCTGTCAGCTGAATTCTTTTGTTGTAAATGGTGTGAATTGTGTTTTGAAAGCTTGATCAAAGAAATGATTCATCTCCTGTAATAGCTAAGCAATTTAACTGTAATAAATGAGCAATTTCAAATTTACAACTAGGGTTTATCAAAACGAAAGCGTTTTCCGAAAAATCTGCGCCACCATCTGTTTGCCTTTTTGAACCTCTGTTCAGGCTTATAGCAAATCCAAGGTTGATCAGCACAAATGACATTCTTTTTGAACCAACTGAATGTTATAAAGTCCCTTGGGTTCTCGTAGGGTATTTTTGGTGCCCAGTGATGTCCAACTTTGAGAAGATATGGTAGACCTGGTTGTTCGGGCGGCATACCCCGAAATGAATGAATGGTATTGACTTCACCTTTTCCGAATCCCAATTCCATGATTACATTTGCTTCACAATCTGGGGAGTGGTAAGCCATTATAAAATTCAGCACTTTTCCTTCATCAGTATAATCAGTTAATTTTTCGTAATATTCTTTCGGTGTCAATAAAGCTAGGCCATAACCGAACATAAAATAATGACAGTAATGATCTAAACAACAGCCATCATGAAAAAGAAACAAATTATGGTCACGATAAACAGGTTCCAACAGTTGTCGGCATTCTTGGCTAGCGCTGAACTTGATGAATTTGAAGGCAACCACAGTGGGGTCTTGTGGGTCGATGTGATCTCGGAACCGAACTTGCACTGCTTTGCTAGTGGACGAGATGGGATCGGAGACAAAGGCATGTAAGCAATAATAAATAGATTGTTGTCGGCATCTACTCGACAAGATGTTGCGTGGAGCATCAATTGGAATTATGAACATCAAAGAAGTCCAGTTTGAATTGACGGTAGAGTTTACAACAATATCGTTGGGCTGTGCACCTGGAATAAATAACATTGAAAAACAAATAATTAAAAATATGTTGTGCAAAAATGAAATACGCATCGCTGGCCAAAATATTCAAAGTTAAATGAAATCCAAATAGTGTTCACTGTGCAAACATCCCAACACTTTTGCTCGCATAATTTTGTTAGAACAACAGAATAGATTAAATATCAAAGAAATTTGATCGAAATCAATTTGAAGAGATGATTTCCAGTTTCACAAATGACAATTATAACAATTGAATGCCTATAGTTAACATCTCTTAGCGTACATTCCAGAATCTGCAAAGGGTCGACAAGCTCGGGCCGACGATCGCGACTCATGCTCAGACGCAAATTGCATATAGTGGCAACAGTCGCGACTCGCATCCAGTTTCAAGCGTTAATAATCAATTGTATTATGATTTTAGCACCATTTGTATAAAAGTTGAGTAAAAATCTAATATTATCAAGAAAAATCTATCAGAATATATCTTTTTGAAACAAATTACAATCAATTAGAATACATATTAATCAATTATAAACAATTATTAATCCATCTATTTTTCGATTCAATTACAATCATTTATAATCAATTATAACCGATTTTTCTAATCCGAATTTCTAATTTATCTGTTATCCAGAAAAAATCCAATTCAATCGATTATAAACGATTACAAGACTGCTCGTATCAGGGCGAAGCCCTGAATGTTCCGACTGCCCTTTAAGATTTATGGAGCAGTAATATCATTAAAAAATTAAAAGTAATAAAAAAAATGAAAATTTTTTTTTTCAAAAATTTGAATTTTTTAAAATAAAAATCATCCCCCCACACGCCATATAAAGTACTAAAGGATAGATTTCGCTACTTGTTACAATTCAATTCTGGCAAATAAGCTTCGTTCAACCAATTTGGAACGATTTATAAGAGGGATTAAATCTCCGCTTACGCGTTAATAGCGCGGAATATATCGCGCGTTAAATGTCCCAAATTGGCCAAAATTGCAACCTTTACACCCCCATAACTTTTTTTTAAAAAATGATCACAAGTGAAATATCTTTTCAAATTTGAGCTCACGACAACAATACCTTTCGAATGATATAAAACAATTCCGTCAAAAATGGCTAGTTAAAAAGTCGAAATTTGTCTGAAGAAAAAAAAACCCACCCCGAGCACAAATATTCCGGTACTTTCGTATCGAAAGTCAGAACAATAATCCCTGTTGCTTGCCGTTTTTGTTCTCAACCTTGCATCTATTGCTTATAATTTGTGATTTTCATAGACCTTGGTTTATATGAAAAAGGGAAAAAAGGAGAAAATTGATTTAGCAGATTTCAGATCAATTCAATTTATTATATGATATGCATAATTTTAGTTTTTTATTTCTTCTCGATTATTGTTGTTTCATGATGCGCATTTATAGTTTTTTTATCAGCACGTTGTTTCAAATTCAAGTTTAATTTAGTTTTGTTTTGAAGTTTATTTTTCACCTACCGCGTGAGCTTTTCAATGGGAAAAAGGAAAAAGGATAGCCAATAAAGGTTTTTTTTCGGGGTAAAACATTGTGTTCAGATGAACCAAACAGAGACAAAACTTCTATATTTTAGAGGTAAGTTACTGGCAGAAAACTACTAACACATAGTATATAAAAGTACATATACATTTTGAGTGACAATTTTCTGGCAAAAAAATTATAAAATAATTGATAAGAATCGATTATAATCAACTTAATGAGTTTTTCTGTATGAAATATAGCTAAATATAATGGATTATAAAAAATTATATCCTTTTGGAAAATGTCACGATTTTAATGAAATGTAACTGTCAAAAAAATAATTGTTCGTTATAATCAATCACCTAAATCCAAACTTGGAATGCTGGGAAAAATCTGAAAAAAAAACGACACAAAAGGCGGAAAAAAAGGTCCCGAAAGTATGCAAGATGCAAAAATCTGGATAGCGAGAGACACTCTGATAACAAAAGAACAAATTTTAAATAAATTAATCATTTTCCATAATATTTGGCACCTTGTTATAAAATTTCTGGTGTGATATTCTTCCGCCTTGACAATTGACGGAATTTTTAGTCTTTCAAACGCAACGGCGCTTGCCACTTACACTTCAAAAAATTCTACAATTGATTTTGTGTAGTTCATTTTGTGTTTTTTAATATAATTTTCACACAAAAATTTAAAAATTATATCTCGAAACAACACCGTCTTCAAATGGCAAGGTATACATACTATTGTTGAAAGTACGTACAATGTAATAGATACCTTAAATTCTAAGCAACTCGCTTTGTTTTAATTCAACTAAAGGCCTGTTGTTTGTAGAAAGAAAAAGCGCAATTGGTGGAGCTCAGTAGCTTACAGGAGGGATATGCCGAACAAAACGATGGCGAGCTAGGAGTCTGCATCACAGTAATCTCTCATAGAGCAGTTCCTCAAACTGTTGTTGTTTCCAAAAACATCACGATTACCGAAGGTTTGCTTTTTTACTTTGATATGGTAGTTTGAAATGATTTTCGAGTTGAATTGATGTATTAAAAGAATTTCAAACTAGTATTATTGCATCAGCGTTATATCACAAAACAGCAAATAAATTTCAAGACTTCTTAAAACCCATTGTGATCTCAAATTCATTTTTCCCGAAATATTGTTCAGATATAAAACTATTGGGAAATGTTTGACTTTGAAAAATTTCAGTTATAATCAATACACATCCCTTAGAGCTGAATTGCGATTCCCCGACCAGTCTCAGTCGGGATAAAACTAAAATGTTAAGAAATTTACTTTGAAATAGAGCTAGAAATCTTGCGATTTTGCTAAGATCTCTTGCTAGCATCAAAAATATCAATAAAAATTCAATTTCGCAAACGATTCAACATATTCTGTAAACAAATGACAAAGATAGCTTTTGAGATAAAAACTAAAAGAGACCACTCAGGTGATGACCAGCGGAAAAAAGAAAAAGTTGTGGCATAAAAAAAAAACAGGCAAGTTAATATGTTCAAAATTTATGAGTAAAATTTTACAAAACATCAGATCAATTCACAGAACATTTTCAGAACTAGAAATGATGATCAAGGACAAAAAAAACAAACCGATTCTTTTTGCTCTAACAGAAACATGTTGCAACAAATACAGTTTAAAAAATGCAGTCAGTTTAGAAAGTTTTCAACAAAATGAGATGGAATCACGAGAAAAGCTTAAAGGAGGGGTTGGATTTTACATTCAATCAGATTTTTTTAACAAAAAAGTTTTTAAATTACAGGAAAATAATGGTTTTTGATCATTTCAACTCAAATAAAAAACAAAGATTGTTTGACCACTATTATTTTGAGAACTGGAAATTTTGTTGATCTTCTACAGAATCATCTGATCAAAACTTCAAATTGGACGAATCGAAAAATTACATAATATGTAGATTTTTCTAAATTTTTCTAAGGGGAGGCGGTTTTTCAAAAATTTTCAAAGGCGGTTTTTGCAGGCAATTTTTTTTCAAACTAGTTTTAAAAAGAGTGCTTAGGCACGTTTTGGAAAACGTTGACCAAAAAATCATGTTTTTTTGGCGCGCGCTCCCAGTCAAAACTATTCATGCTGACGGTTTTTTATTTTGAGCCTACAACTTACTGATATAGATTAACTAGCTATAGCTAGACAAACGCAGAAAAATTGATCAAGTATTGATCTAATCTTTCCAAATTTTGAAGGTCGAAAAAATCCAGAATAAGCAAGTTTAACCGATCATTCCAGTGTTCAGTTTAGTCAAAACCTATATAATAGAAACTTTGTGCCACAGATCTTTAGTCGGAGAGGAAAATCAGTTTTCTACGGGCGAAATTTCAAAATTAAAAAAAAAAGAAGTGTCTTGCCTTGGGTTATTTTTTAACCCAACAATTGGATCCCACTCAAGATTACTACTCAAGTGAAAAGTTAAAAACACAAAAGTTACAAATTAATCAAAGGAAAAAAGTTCGTTAGCAGACTGAGAAAATTATTGAGCATGCTCATTCTTTTTGACAGGCCGTTGATAAAGTCTTTTATGGATTTGAATTAAGTAAAATTGAAAAACGTTCTGCGCTAACTCAGAAAATTGTATATACTGGAAAGTAACAATTTCGATAATCTTTTTTGGTAGGTTAAACGTTATACTAAGACAAATTTCATTCATTAAGTTAAAGTTGGGGGATTTGATAAAAAGAAGTAGACTGAAAATTCGGGTTTTTCCTCTCAACTCTTCATAGACAAGAAATGAAGAATAATTTCAGAGACATCACTCGACAGCCAGTATTGCCTTTGATGTTCTCTCGAGTGAATAAGTATTAATGCATAAAGAAAAGTTATGTTTTGTACTTAACTCTCGAAAACGAATTTATTGTTTCGACTTTCGATACGAAAGTAACGGAATATTTGTGCTCGGGGTGGGTTTTTTTTCTTCAGACAAATTTCGACTTTTTAACTAGCCATTTTTGACAGAATTTTTTTATATCATTCAAAAGGTATTGTTGCCTTGAGCTCAAATTTGAAAAGATATTTCACCTGTGATCATTTTTCGTAAAGTTATGGGGGTTTAAAGATTGCCATTTTGGCCAATTTGGGACAATTAACGCGCGATATATTTCGCGCTATTAACGCGTAAGCGGAGAGTTAATCCGTCTTAAAATCGTTCCAAATTGGTTGAAAGAAGCTTATTTGCCATAATTGAATTGTTACAAGGAGCTAAATCTATCTTTTTGTACTTTAAATGGCGTGTGGGGGGAGGATTTTCATTTAAAAAAATTCAAATTTAATTTTTTTTTTAAATTTTATTACATTTAATTTTTAATGTTATTACTGCTCCATAAAACCTTAAAAGGCAGTCGGAACATTCAGGGCTTCGCCCTGATACGAGCAGTCTTGTTTCTTTTAAAACAAAGATAATCATTATTTGGTTCATTTTAGAGGTTTGGTACCCACGCAGTATATTGGAATTGAACAAATGCAAAAATGTTCTGTCGTCCTTTGATCCGAGCCTCGACAAAGATCATCCGGTAGAGTTTGTCTTTGTTTCTTTCTTTTTGATAATTGGAACCAAACTGATGTTAAATTAGCTAATGAGCAAGCTTGTAGGGTTTCAATGACGTGGTATACCGCAGCAGGCGAGCTGAAATAGCTAAGCTAGCAGAACAATACCAACAGTAAGTGAACACAAATTTTTCTGTTTATGCACAGTGAATGATTGTTTGTCTGTAGTGACCTGCAGCCTTTTTGAAATCTTGTATTGATTCACAAGATAGCAATTACAATTTTTCTAATCTTTGAAAATTTGAAAAAAAAAATTCAAAAATTTTTTCAAGCTGAAGCAATCAGCTCAGATGAGGTTGGTTCTTTAACTATTGAAATTTCACTACGACTTAACTCGCAAAAAGTAAAATTTGAGCAGAAGTTTATGAGAAATTTAAATGGTGCAAGACCAAATGCGAGACCAAATCAATCGCCAATAATAAACAAAAAGCTCACATTTTCTTGAAATAAAATATTCTTTAGCTTCCAATTAGCCATAATTTCCTGTAGCTAAACAAATACTTATTTGATATCAAGAAAAACAACAGCAAACATAATCAAAGGCAAACAGTGAATATGAAAATAACCCAGTCACTTGCAAGGTAAGCCTGAATTTTCAGACTGCGTTTTAATGTCTGTGAAAAAGTTTTTGATTAAAAATTTGACGCAACTTTTCATAATAAATAAAAAAACAGTTTGAACTTTTTTCCATATTTTTGAAAACCTATGTACAAAAATAAAATGATAAATTTGCATGCTACCAAATAGTTTGCTTCAATTCATTTTGGTTTTTTGAGCCGTCCTATTGTTTTGTAATAGACCAAATTACATAGAGAGTTGCAAAAAGTTGGAACAGACAGAATTAATTATAAAGAGCAATTGCTAATTTTTCAGAGAAAGTATAAGAATCCGAAGTTTGTCTGAATAAAGCGTTACACAGCACACGCATTCCGTCACTTTGTTATTGGCGCAAAGCTCTGATTGTTGGAGCTGTTTTTTTGAAGTTAAGTTTTTTTTCATTTTTGTAAAATCCCTGGTATGCTGTTCAAGAAAGAACGGTGACATATTTCAGCTAGGAACACGTTATTTGGAAGAATTAAGTTGCCTTCTGGGAATTGGGAGTTTAAAAATGTAAAAACGTCATAATAACTCGCCATAATTTAACAAAACTTTTCACAGGTGCATGTTTCTTATTTTGAGCTCTATATCTTTCACGGTTTTTATTTTAGAAAAAACTGCTACAAACAGCTAATTAAAAAAAAATCGATCTGAATAACAAAAAAAAACATCCCAACCGCGTATGTTCAACCATTCTCCTCAAAACATTTTTTTCAAAAATAATGAGTAGGAGTTTTCTGTGCAAAATATATGACCGATATGAATAACTTCAAGGTCATTCTGAGCAGTATTAATGTCGTTTGTAGAATTGCTTAATTGTTCTGTCAGCTGAATTCTTTTGTTGTAAATGGTGTGAATTGTGTTTTGAAAGCTTGATCAAAGAAATGATTCATCTCCTGTAATAGCTAAGCAATTTAACTGTAATAAATGAGCAATTTCAAATTTACAACTAGGGTTTATCAAAACGAAAGCGTTTTCCGAAAAATCTGCGCCACCATCTGTTTGCCTTTTTGAACCTCTGTTCAGGCTTATAGCAAATCCAAGGTTGATCAGCACAAATGACATTCTTTTTGAACCAACTGAATGTTATAAAGTCCCTTGGGTTCTCGTAGGGTATTTTTGGTGCCCAGTGATGTCCAACTTTGAGAAGATATGGTAGACCTGGTTGTTCGGGCGGCATACCCCGAAATGAATGAATGGTATTGACTTCACCTTTTCCGAATCCCAATTCCATGATTACATTTGCTTCACAATCTGGGGAGTGGTAAGCCATTATAAAATTCAGCACTTTTCCTTCATCAGTATAATCAGTTAATTTTTCGTAATATTCTTTCGGTGTCAATAAAGCTAGGCCATAACCGAACATAAAATAATGACAGTAATGATCTAAACAACAGCCATCATGAAAAAGAAACAAATTATGGTCACGATAAACAGGTTCCAACAGTTGTCGGCATTCTTGGCTAGCGCTGAACTTGATGAATTTGAAGGCAACCACAGTGGGGTCTTGTGGGTCGATGTGATCTCGGAACCGAACTTGCACTGCTTTGCTAGTGGACGAGATGGGATCGGAGACAAAGGCATGTAAGCAATAATAAATAGATTGTTGTCGGCATCTACTCGACAAGATGTTGCGTGGAGCATCAATTGGAATTATGAACATCAAAGAAGTCCAGTTTGAATTGACGGTAGAGTTTACAACAATATCGTTGGGCTGTGCACCTGGAATAAATAACATTGAAAAACAAATAATTAAAAATATGTTGTGCAAAAATGAAATACGCATCGCTGGCCAAAATATTCAAAGTTAAATGAAATCCAAATAGTGTTCACTGTGCAAACATCCCAACACTTTTGCTCGCATAATTTTGTTAGAACAACAGAATAGATTAAATATCAAAGAAATTTGATCGAAATCAATTTGAAGAGATGATTTCCAGTTTCACAAATGACAATTATAACAATTGAATGCCTATAGTTAACATCTCTTAGCGTACATTCCAGAATCTGCAAAGGGTCGACAAGCTCGGGCCGACGATCGCGACTCATGCTCAGACGCAAATTGCATATAGTGGCAACAGTCGCGACTCGCATCCAGTTTCAAGCGTTAATAATCAATTGTATTATGATTTTAGCACCATTTGTATAAAAGTTGAGTAAAAATCTAATATTATCAAGAAAAATCTATCAGAATATATCTTTTTGAAACAAATTACAATCAATTAGAATACATATTAATCAATTATAAACAATTATTAATCCATCTATTTTTCGATTCAATTACAATCATTTATAATCAATTATAACCGATTTTTCTAATCCGAATTTCTAATTTATCTGTTATCCAGAAAAAATCCAATTCAATCGATTATAAACGATTACAAGACTGCTCGTATCAGGGCGAAGCCCTGAATGTTCCGACTGCCCTTTAAGATTTATGGAGCAGTAATATCATTAAAAAATTAAAAGTAATAAAAAAAATGAAAATTTTTTTTTTCAAAAATTTGAATTTTTTAAAATAAAAATCATCCCCCCACACGCCATATAAAGTACTAAAGGATAGATTTCGCTACTTGTTACAATTCAATTCTGGCAAATAAGCTTCGTTCAACCAATTTGGAACGATTTATAAGAGGGATTAAATCTCCGCTTACGCGTTAATAGCGCGGAATATATCGCGCGTTAAATGTCCCAAATTGGCCAAAATTGCAACCTTTACACCCCCATAACTTTTTTTTAAAAAATGATCACAAGTGAAATATCTTTTCAAATTTGAGCTCACGACAACAATACCTTTCGAATGATATAAAACAATTCCGTCAAAAATGGCTAGTTAAAAAGTCGAAATTTGTCTGAAGAAAAAAAAACCCACCCCGAGCACAAATATTCCGGTACTTTCGTATCGAAAGTCAGAACAATAATCCCTGTTGCTTGCCGTTTTTGTTCTCAACCTTGCATCTATTGCTTATAATTTGTGATTTTCATAGACCTTGGTTTATATGAAAAAGGGAAAAAAGGAGAAAATTGATTTAGCAGATTTCAGATCAATTCAATTTATTATATGATATGCATAATTTTAGTTTTTTATTTCTTCTCGATTATTGTTGTTTCATGATGCGCATTTATAGTTTTTTTATCAGCACGTTGTTTCAAATTCAAGTTTAATTTAGTTTTGTTTTGAAGTTTATTTTTCACCTACCGCGTGAGCTTTTCAATGGGAAAAAGGAAAAAGGATAGCCAATAAAGGTTTTTTTTCGGGGTAAAACATTGTGTTCAGATGAACCAAACAGAGACAAAACTTCTATATTTTAGAGGTAAGTTACTGGCAGAAAACTACTAACACATAGTATATAAAAGTACATATACATTTTGAGTGACAATTTTCTGGCAAAAAAATTATAAAATAATTGATAAGAATCGATTATAATCAACTTAATGAGTTTTTCTGTATGAAATATAGCTAAATATAATGGATTATAAAAAATTATATCCTTTTGGAAAATGTCACGATTTTAATGAAATGTAACTGTCAAAAAAATAATTGTTCGTTATAATCAATCACCTAAATCCAAACTTGGAATGCTGGGAAAAATCTGAAAAAAAAACGACACAAAAGGCGGAAAAAAAGGTCCCGAAAGTATGCAAGATGCAAAAATCTGGATAGCGAGAGACACTCTGATAACAAAAGAACAAATTTTAAATAAATTAATCATTTTCCATAATATTTGGCACCTTGTTATAAAATTTCTGGTGTGATATTCTTCCGCCTTGACAATTGACGGAATTTTTAGTCTTTCAAACGCAACGGCGCTTGCCACTTACACTTCAAAAAACTCTACAATTGATTTTGTGTAGTTCATTTTGTGTTTTTTAATATAATTTTCACACAAAAATTTAAAAATTATATCTCGAAACAACACCGTCTTCAAATGGCAAGGTATACATACTATTGTTGAAAGTACGTACAATGTAATAGATACCTTAAATTCTAAGCAACTCGCTTTGTTTTAATTCAACTAAAGGCCTGTTGTTTGTAGAAAGAAAAAGCGCAATTGGTGGAGCTCAGTAGCTTACAGGAGGGATATGCCGAACAAAACGATGGCGAGCTAGGAGTCTGCATCACAGTAATCTCTCATAGAGCAGTTCCTCAAACTGTTGTTGTTTCCAAAAACATCACGATTACCGAAGGTTTGCTTTTTTACTTTGATATGGTAGTTTGAAATGATTTTCGAGTTGAATTGATGTATTAAAAGAATTTCAAACTAGTATTATTGCATCAGCGTTATATCACAAAACAGCAAATAAATTTCAAGACTTCTTAAAACCCATTGTGATCTCAAATTCATTTTTCCCGAAATATTGTTCAGATATAAAACTATTGGGAAATGTTTGACTTTGAAAAATTTCAGTTATAATCAATACACATCCCTTAGAGCTGAATTGCGATTCCCCGACCAGTCTCAGTCGGGATAAAACTAAAATGTTAAGAAATTTACTTTGAAATAGAGCTAGAAATCTTGCGATTTTGCTAAGATCTCTTGCTAGCATCAAAAATATCAATAAAAATTCAATTTCGCAAACGATTCAACATATTCTGTAAACAAATGACAAAGATAGCTTTTGAGATAAAAACTAAAAGAGACCACTCAGGTGATGACCAGCGGAAAAAAGAAAAAGTTGTGGCATAAAAAAAAAACAGGCAAGTTAATATGTTCAAAATTTATGAGTAAAATTTTACAAAACATCAGATCAATTCACAGAACATTTTCAGAACTAGAAATGATGATCAAGGACAAAAAAAACAAACCGATTCTTTTTGCTCTAACAGAAACATGTTGCAACAAATACAGTTTAAAAAATGCAGTCAGTTTAGAAAGTTTTCAACAAAATGAGATGGAATCACGAGAAAAGCTTAAAGGAGGGGTTGGATTTTACATTCAATCAGATTTTTTTAACAAAAAAGTTTTTAAATTACAGGAAAATAATGGTTTTTGATCATTTCAACTCAAATAAAAAACAAAGATTGTTTGACCACTATTATTTTGAGAACTGGAAATTTTGTTGATCTTCTACAGAATCATCTGATCAAAACTTCAAATTGGACGAATCGAAAAATTACATAATATGTAGATTTTTCTAAATTTTTCTAAGGGGAGGCGGTTTTTCAAAAATTTTCAAAGGCGGTTTTTGCAGGCAATTTTTTTTCAAACTAGTTTTAAAAAGAGTGCTTAGGCACGTTTTGGAAAACGTTGACCAAAAAATCATGTTTTTTTGGCGCGCGCTCCCAGTCAAAACTATTCATGCTGACGGTTTTTTATTTTGAGCCTACAACTTACTGATATAGATTAACTAGCTATAGCTAGACAAACGCAGAAAAATTGATCAAGTATTGATCTAATCTTTCCAAATTTTGAAGGTCGAAAAAATCCAGAATAAGCAAGTTTAACCGATCATTCCAGTGTTCAGTTTAGTCAAAACCTATATAATAGAAACTTTGTGCCACAGATCTTTAGTCGGAGAGGAAAATCAGTTTTCTACGGGCGAAATTTCAAAATTAAAAAAAAAAGAAGTGTCTTGCCTTGGGTTATTTTTTAACCCAACAATTGGATCCCACTCAAGATTACTACTCAAGTGAAAAGTTAAAAACACAAAAGTTACAAATTAATCAAAGGAAAAAAGTTCGTTAGCAGACTGAGAAAATTATTGAGCATGCTCATTCTTTTTGACAGGCCGTTGATAAAGTCTTTTATGGATTTGAATTAAGTAAAATTGAAAAACGTTCTGCGCTAACTCAGAAAATTGTATATACTGGAAAGTAACAATTTCGATAATCTTTTTTGGTAGGTTAAACGTTATACTAAGACAAATTTCATTCATTAAGTTAAAGTTGGGGGATTTGATAAAAAGAAGTAGACTGAAAATTCGGGTTTTTCCTCTCAACTCTTCATAGACAAGAAATGAAGAATAATTTCAGAGACATCACTCGACAGCCAGTATTGCCTTTGATGTTCTCTCGAGTGAATAAGTATTAATGCATAAAGAAAAGTTATGTTTTGTACTTAACTCTCGAAAACGAATTTATTGTTTCGACTTTCGATACGAAAGTAACGGAATATTTGTGCTCGGGGTGGGTTTTTTTTCTTCAGACAAATTTCGACTTTTTAACTAGCCATTTTTGACAGAATTTTTTTATATCATTCAAAAGGTATTGTTGCCTTGAGCTCAAATTTGAAAAGATATTTCACCTGTGATCATTTTTCGTAAAGTTATGGGGGTTTAAAGATTGCCATTTTGGCCAATTTGGGACAATTAACGCGCGATATATTTCGCGCTATTAACGCGTAAGCGGAGAGTTAATCCGTCTTAAAATCGTTCCAAATTGGTTGAAAGAAGCTTATTTGCCATAATTGAATTGTTACAAGGAGCTAAATCTATCTTTTTGTACTTTAAATGGCGTGTGGGGGGAGGATTTTCATTTAAAAAAATTCAAATTTAATTTTTTTTTTAAATTTTATTACATTTAATTTTTAATGTTATTACTGCTCCATAAAACCTTAAAAGGCAGTCGGAACATTCAGGGCTTCGCCCTGATACGAGCAGTCTTGTTTCTTTTAAAACAAAGATAATCATTATTTGGTTCATTTTAGAGGTTTGGTACCCACGCAGTATATTGGAATTGAACAAATGCAAAAATGTTCTGTCGTCCTTTGATCCGAGCCTCGACAAAGATCATCCGGTAGAGTTTGTCTTTGTTTCTTTCTTTTTGATAATTGGAACCAAACTGATGTTAAATTAGCTAATGAGCAAGCTTGTAGGGTTTCAATGACGTGGTATACCGCAGCAGGCGAGCTGAAATAGCTAAGCTAGCAGAACAATACCAACAGTAAGTGAACACAAATTTTTCTGTTTATGCACAGTGAATGATTGTTTGTCTGTAGTGACCTGCAGCCTTTTTGAAATCTTGTATTGATTCACAAGATAGCAATTACAATTTTTCTAATCTTTGAAAATTTGAAAAAAAAAATTCAAAAATTTTTTCAAGCTGAAGCAATCAGCTCAGATGAGGTTGGTTCTTTAACTATTGAAATTTCACTACGACTTAACTCGCAAAAAGTAAAATTTGAGCAGAAGTTTATGAGAAATTTAAATGGTGCCAACAGATTTCGTCCCACTACAGATTTAGTCCAAATAAAAACTGTTTATCTTGGTTTTTTTTTGGTTTTGAAGGGAGATTGAATTGGTTAATGAGCCATAATCAAAAACAGCCAAAATACTGAAAAAAAGAATACCAATTAGATTGAATATTCAATCGTAAATTTCCGTTCTGAAAAATTAGTCTTTAGAAGTAAAAAAAATTCAGACTGGTTTCTTTTCGACACTGAGACAGTTCTTAAAGTAGTTCTTTTTGAAATCCAAAGAACGATTGAAAGAGTTTCAATTTGACACCACAGTTGATCACCTAAAAGCTTTCTTCGACGTGCACAAAATGCGTCAGAAAAACAACCCACCCTTCGCCATGGCTCCTTCCAACTTCGTGAAGTAGTCGGAACAGTTATCCATTTCTACTCGATTATTTTGAAATATCTAATGTCAACAATCGAGCTATTTGTGTAACGATTTTGCCAACCCCAAGGTCACTGGGAGAGAATGTTAAAAATGGGGCGAAATCTGTCATTCAATTACAGTAGGACGAAATCGGAATGTAACCCACAAGAAAATCATCACACATTCCTTATTTTTTGAAAAATGATGAGATGAACATCTGTAGGAAGTTTTTTTGTGACGTTTGTCTTACTCTTTAAACCTTCCGTCGTACTAGTGGAGGCTGAAATGCTAAAATAAAAAGTTAACAATGCATTGATTGCTCTATTATTTTAGTGGCTCTGAGGTGCCTCGTGTTGTATACACTGAACTAGAAACAGCGACTTGGAAGGAGGCGTTCGTGAACCTCTCCATATTACACGAAACACATGCTTGTGAAAACTACTTAAAATATTTCAAAAAGTTGAAAACCGACAAGATTATCAGGTTAGACAAAAAGGATGGATAATACGTTTTAAAAATCGGCTGGATTAATAATTATAAATGTTTTTAAATTTAAAAATTTGTTTTAGCAGCGAGAGAATTCCGCAGCTGCAGGATCTATCCGATTATCTGTACAGTTAGTTGAAACTATTTGTTATGTAATTAAACATTCTCTTCGTGTAAAAGCAAATTATGCACAATGCGTTCACCCTTTTTTAAAATTTTTAAAAATCAACTTCTCCTCATTCGTGAAATTTCTGAGCTTGAAAGTTATTCCGATTTAATCGATACTGATGCTAATTGAGCTCTACAATAAACCAATTATTAATCTTTCATATAATTGTTCACACATTTCAGAAGCGAGCGGGTTCAAACTGTGTCCAGTATCTGGGTTGGTATCTGCACGTGACTTCCTCGCCTGCCTGGCTTTCAAAGTGTTCCCCTGCACTCAGTATATCAGACACCACGACGCACCCATGCACTCGCCTGAACCGTGAGCTCAACTCTAGTTTCATCATTTTGAACAAGGAACCTCACCATTCGGGGGGGGGGGGGGGGGGGTTAGCAGGGCGCGAGAAAGATCATGATCAGAAATGTTTTACATTGTTCTACAATGTTTCAAACGGGTCATTAATTGTTCTATATTGTTTCAGAGCTCTCATACCTTATGCCTATCTAACTAGTCCTAAAACCTTAAGTTCTTTGTAGCGTTTAAACCTCTCCTGTGATTGTTGGATAGTTTCAACGAGGTAATTTATAATGCATAGATTCTTTTGAGCTGTACTTCAAAAATATGCATAAGCATGAAACACGTAATAGCTTAAAAGTCTGACTGTTTCATATAAAATTCCCTGGGCAAAGTCAGAAAAGTAGTAAATCCATATATACCAAGCAGTTAAAATGTGCCAAGAACATGTAATTTTAACTGCTTAACTTGAAAATTTGAGCCAAGAGTTATTCTTCACATTTTGATTTCTTGACCAAAAATATGATCATAAAAACTGCTCGGCATAGAAATCTACCCAAGGAAATATATACTTGTTTAGATTGTTGCCTCATCATGGGTAGTATGTCTAATCAAGGTCATAATACATCAACTTTAATTTCACAAACTGTTATTTTTGACCAAAGTTATATACATGAAAGTTGCTCAACTCCAAAAACTGTGTCTAAAAAATATGCATTGTTCAAGTTTTGCCTAATCATATGTAGTCATCAAGTTCATGTTACATCATCTTATATCTAAGTAACTATTGATTTTTCAGAAAACGGGCTTGAACACAAACAATGTTCATTGTCAAAAACTATGGCTGAAAAAATAGGCATTGTTCAAGTTTTGCTTCAATAGATCTAGTCTGTCTCGTCAAGGTCATAAAATATAAGTATATTTCTCAAAAACTGTTTTTTTTCTGCCATTATAGTGATCATGAAAGTTGCTCAGCATCAAAACTATACTCTATAAAATTAATTCTTGTTCAAGTTTTGCCTAATCATATGTAATATGAATCATCAAGGTCATGCTTATCAACTTATATCTCAATGAAAATTGATTTTTTGACCTTAGGCTTTCACATAAAAGTTGCTCAGCATGAAAAATTTAATTCTAAGAATTCTTGAATTGTTCAAAATTGCCTCATGATTTGTAACATGACTCGTCAAGTCATGTTACATCATCTTATATCTCAGTAACTGTTAATTTCCCCGACCATATTTAAAAACATCAGAAAACTCATCCTTAAAAACTGTTTCTAAATTTTCCGTTTTGGTTAAACATTGACTGGAGATATGTAGTATGATTCAAATCGGCCGGGAAACTTCCTTATCTGCTATCTCAGTGATAGTAATTTTTCGAACCAAAAAATGAACATTAAAATTGCTCAGAAAAAATATCTGACAAAAACGTTAATTGTCTACATAAATCTGTAGCAAAATGATTTTAATTTTTGCAGCTATCTTATAGAAAATCGCAATAAGGAAGTAGAGTTTAAATTTAGAAATAGATGCAATACGCACACAAACACAGAAACTTCATTGCGTGCACATTTTCTAATGAAAAATCAATTTAATTTAAAAAAAAATCGTCGGTTTTCATGAAAAATTCACGTAAGATTTTGAAGAATATAAAAAATAAATGTCTTCTAAAAATCAATTCGAGTTGTTTTTTTTTCTGTATTTTTTAACTTTTGAAAAACAATTGATAAAAAACCAATAGGGACTTGAAGAATAGATTACTAGTATATACTACATTTTGAATGATATTAAATAGGTTGCTCAAAAAACCGAATTCGAAGAAAATAATTCAGATGTACTTTCAGTATTACAGGGAATCTTGAAATACAAGTGAAGGCTATCACTCTAGTAAAATCAGATTTTATCCTTATCGGAAACTAAATTGTCTTAAACCTGAAGAACAAAACATCGTTTTGTTTTAATTTTACTGCATTATTGTAAAAACAGCTTGAAAATAAAATAAATATTAATTAGAACGAAGTGACGATTGCTAAACTCATGGTTTAATTGACCTAAGATATTCTAAAGATATATAAACTATAAAACTTAAATCCCATTTAAAGTTTGTTTTGTCTTGAGGTTCTTCGTTGTGGTTTTTTTGAAGTTAAGAATAAACATACGAAACGACATTAGTTTCTACCCTAAACATAGATAACGACACTAAATTCTAAGAATTCCGAGCATCTTTTTCAAAATGTGATTTTTACTCCATTGTTCTCCATGTCTGTTCGAAAATAATCTTACAAATGACCAGTTTCTTAAGCCCTGAAGAAAGCAGCACGATGACCATGCTTATTGAACTAGTTTTATCAAAACCTGTCCAAATAAAGCAGTACATTGAAAACTTTGAAGTTCGACATATGCACAATTTCTTCAACGCAACTCATAACACAAATGAATCTAGTTTTTCTTAAATTGACAAATGCATCTTTTATTTGTGAGAAAGTGGTGTGTTTGATTTCGATTGACTCTTCAAATTATTCTTCCTGCCTGTTTATTTTTTTGTGCAATCGGACCAAAGTCGAATTTATTTTGGTTCTAGCTATTTAAACTACAAAAGCAGTTTTGAGGAGCTTTTTTCAAAGACTGGAGGCACTTTTGAAAAACTGCATCGGCGCTTGCTCTTAGGATGTTTTTCAACTAGAAAAAAGCACGTAAAAATAATTTAGAACACTATAATTTAATTTTTTGTATAAAATTTCTATTTTCATGATAAAATGAGTGAAGCTCAGTTTTGTATATATCAATCAAATTGAATCAAAAAGGCCAGAAATAACAGCAGAAAAGAAAAACACAGGAAACAAAGTTACGTTATTTGTATCAATTTATTTAAAACAATTTTTTTTTTAGAAATTGTGTATCATGTGAGAAAAAAGTAGTTTCCAAAATTGGTTTTTTGGTTTTTTCCATATTGTTTGATCCAATTAGAACCAAATTATCATCATTTTTAAATTGTTAATTGGCTTTGGATGTAAATTCAAAAATTACAAACAAACAGTTTGTACGAAAAAAATTATTCGTTATAGTTGACCTTTTTAGTTTTTTAAGAAACTTAGAAATTATAGAACTAAGTTTCAATTGTACTAAAAAAACTTAAAAAATTATTTCAAACTAAATTGTTGTTTTTGCTTTTTTAGAAAAATATTGGTTAAAAAAGATTCAACAACAATAGCAATAATCTCTTTTTATTCAGAGCACACTGACCTCTGCATTCAACTGCAACTAATCAATTTTCACAGATTTTTTCTCAAAATATCTTTATCGTTTACAAAATTTAAAGGATTTTTTTTCCTAGAAAAATTATGAGGTTTGGTTAACCATTATATTCAAATTTGACGTTTGACTCAATTTTTTTTCACAAAGCGTAGGTTCGTTTTAGTCAGGTTATTTTCAGTCTCGTTGAAAAATGTGATTCAGAAAAATGTGATGCAGCTTTTATTATTATGATCGAAATAGATCGAACAAAATTATCAACCTTTCTGCATTGCTGTATCATCTGGGGCAAATATTTATTAATAATCAAGATTTTTGCATCCAAGTTGACCTTAAAAGTTTTTGTTCCAATGCCGAAGGCAACAATTTTTTGAAGGTAAGTTAGAAAGAAGGAAATTGAACTTTTTCAGCTGAAATTACTGCTCATGTGCCAAAACTTTTCATATATAATTGAGCTAAAAGCTTTTATCCTTCCGCTCTTCAAAAGTTTTCAACAGAAAATTTTTTTCTACTTCGAGGTTTTGTAAGCACTAATCTAAACTCTTGCTTATATTTAATTTCATTGAAAAATTGTTTTTTGATTGTGAAGCGCAGATTAAAATGATAGAAAAGTAAATAAAAAAGTGATCTCAAAACAACAAAATATTTTTCCGTAAATAATTTTTTCAGTAAATTAATATGTTACCGAAGATCAAAATAATGAGCTTCCCCGACAAGGGTTAAGCTAGGATCGTTTTTTTGTAAACATCATCTTTTCTTGCAATATCAAGTGCTAGTTGATAAAAACTTTTGAGACATAAAAAACGACGACTACCAAAATTTGCAACATCTATTTTCTGCAATCTTTCGCTGAGTTAGTGAACTCTCTCTATATATATACTTAAGTTTAGTATGAACAAAAACAATAAAAGTAGATAAAAGTAGGTGTATAAAAAGAAGGTTAGTGCGTTAGGTAATAATTCCGATATGCTGCAGGAGATTTGGTAAAGTTGTATTCGATTCAAAAGTTGTTTGTTCTTGAAAAGTTTCACTTGCATGATCTGAAAGTTATACTACTGAAAAATTTTCAAATTGCCTTGGAAATAATTTTTTTTTGAGTACTAATTAACCAAACATTAATTTCTGAACTCGACAAATAACTTTGGAAAATATACAAAAAAACTTTTGTTAATTCGTTAACTTGATGGATTTTACATTTATTTCGTAATCAGCACGCACCAGAAGTGAAATAATTTAGTATCCATTTTCTGAAAATATTTTTTTTCCATTTTTTAGCAAAATTTGAAATGTTGTGATAGACAGAAAATGCATAAGATCAAAAATCGAAATTTCCAAAAATTTAGACGAGAAAAAATTATTTCGATTTATCAAAACTTTACGTGATTCATTGCAGAGCTCAGAAGACGACACGTTGATATGACACGTCGCCGTTTGGTATTTCTTTGTCTAAAAAGCAGAAAAGTGTCTTATCTGCACAACATCCTGTTGGCTTTTAATAAGTCAGAGCAATTTTTTGAAGTCTAAAACAATTTTTGGATTTTTGGTTTTGCGCATTTTCGGGTTATTACATAAAACAATTCATGTCTTTTAACTTTTTAGATTGATGGATACAAAAGTATTGAACTTTTAGTTTCTTTCAATTCCCACAGCAAAAATTTTCAACTGAAACAGTTAGTTAATTCGCGAATTAAACTTTTGTCATAATTTTTGCATTTACATCTATAATCTTTTAAAGATAAAAAATTGACACTATTCAGAAAAAAGTTGACA